CAGATCGAGAGGATGCAATTAACTACACATGCTTAGTTACAAGCTTTGTAAGTATTCACTTCCATCTACCTACCTACATTCTTCTCTTTTCTATTTCTGAGTAAAGGTGCAAATAAAGATTCTAACTTTGCACTTTTTTCTATTTAAGGATGTTAATTTTGTCAGTTTCTAAATAAGGATGTCAACTTTTAATTTTTTTCTAAATAAGAATGTTAACTTTTAATTTTTTTTCTAAATAAGGATGTTAACTTTATCAGTTTCTAAATAAGAATGTCAACTTTCAACTTTTTCTATTTAAGAATTAATTGAATAGTGATGCTGATGTGGTTAACATATTTTTTTAGGTTAAATATTTGAATTGGTCCCTCGACTTTTATTTTTGAACCAATTCATCCTTAAACTTCAGAAAGTACCAAAAATGTCCTTTAACTTCAATTTTGAATTTCGTCTTTCCGTCAGTTAAATGTTGATGTAGCTAATTTTTTTGCTAAGTGATTGACTATTTTACATTTTCAATATTAGGCGGAAAATCCATCATGTAAAAGATGATTATATGGATTTTTTAAATTTTAAATAATTTACAACCTACTTTAATTCTTAATTTTACTTTATTTATATTAAAAAATTAAAACAATTAATATATTTTCTCATTTAATTAGTCCCACCTATCATTTAATAAAATTAAATAAAATTCAATTAATTCTTTCATGAATTAGGAAATAATTTTATTAATTAAAAATTGAAGTTGAAGGACGTTTTTTGTACTTTCTGAAATTCAAGGATGAATTGGTTTTAACAATAAAAGTTGAGGCACCAATTCAGGTATTTAACCTAAAAAATATGTTAACCATGTCAACATCACTGTTCAATTAATTCTTAAATAGAAAAAGTTGAAAGTTGACATCCTTAAATAGAAAATGTTGAAAGTTGACATCCTTATTTAGAAATTAACAAAGTTAACACCCTTATGTTAACATCTTTATTTAAAAAAAATTTGAAAGTTAACATCTTTATTTAGAAATTAATAAAATTAATATCCTTAAATAAAAAAAATGCAAAGTTGGAATCATTATTTGCACCTTTACTCTCTATTTCTGGATGATTTTGTAGTATTGGTAATTGTACAAGGCGTATAACTTAAGATCTGTGCTTGCACCCTTCTCCAGGTATTGCATCATCTTGGTGAAATCCATACTCTACTCCAAAGAGTACAGTATAGGTTTACATTAATTGTTTCAAGCAATAAGTGGAATTTGCTATTTGACATTGAAGAAGCTGTATATCTCAACTAGATAGGTAAAAGTTTTTCTTTCTTCCTAGATTGCCTTCTTTTCTTTTCTTTTCTTTTTTTTTTTCATTTTTCATTTTTTGATTTTTTACATCAGATCCTAGCTATATGCATTTTTTCATTTGTTAAATTCCTTTTTCAACTTACTAAAGATTTAAATTGAACACCTTCAAATTAAAAATATCAAGTTTAATTTTAACCAATTAAGTCTCTCTTTGGATTTTTTTTTCTTTCTACATATTTAGAGAACATCTCAAAACCAGATCAAGAGGAAGCAATCAACAACACATGCTTAGTTACAGACTCCGTAAGTATTTACTTCCATCTCCCTGTCTACCTTCTTCTTTTCATTTTTGTTTTTTGTTTTTTTTTGGATGATTTTGTAGTATTGGTTATAGTACAAGTGCACCACTTATGATCTGAGCGTGCATTCTTCTCCAGATATTGCATCATCTTGGTGAAACCCATACTCTCCTCCAAAGAGTATAGCTTATTCCCAAGCAAATCATTGGAATTTTCTGACATTGAAGTGAAGAAACTACGTATCTCAACTAGGTATGTAAGAGTTTCCCTTCTTCGCAGATTGCATTCTTTTATGTGCTTTTTTTTCTTTTTTTTGCATCAAGTGATGTTATAGGCATTTTTCTTTTTTCAAATATCTCCTCAATTAATTAAAGATTCAAATTTGATATCAAGCTAGTTTAGTTTTAATCAATTAAGTCTCCTTGGGACTTCTTTGTTTCTTACCAAAACATATGCTAACCATTTGAGAAAGAAAAAGATAAAACATAAG